GAGGACAGCAAATATCGGCAGATACGCTAAAATCTGTAAGGCCAGCAAGTAAATAAAAATAGCCGACAAAAATAGAGATAAATTGAGTTTACAAAAAGAGGTAAAAGGAGGCATCAAAAAAGTGAGTTAAATAAGAGTATGGAAATTGAAGGGGTTGGAGACAACTATAGATATGAAGAGAAGCTAGGTTTCGAAGAATTCCATTAATTATCGCATTTTGTTTAAAGGATGGATGAAAGTATCCGTAAATTTGTCTCATCAATAACTCGAGGATTGCCTTAGAGTTAAGACTGTTGGAGTATGCGAATAAGACCTTGCTGAGCTCTCGTCAGCCATGGGACCAACAATCAGAAAACATCATATAAGGAAAATTCAACGAAAAAACTTTCTGGTTTAGAGATTCTGGCGAGTTTATCTCAAATGACAGACAATGGCTTTGACGATGTCTGTCGCAGAAAAGACGAAAGCGCAGCATAGATTCATAAGGTTAACACGACTATAAGCAGTCAAACGATCCAGGAGTCACAAATTCCCTTCCATTCACCTTTATAAATAAAATGAATAAAACAGCAACATAAAACTCAACAATAATCAAAAGCACTGAACGAGAGATGGAAATTGAAGTCATTCCGAGGGACAAATTAGAAAATGAAGTTGAGAAGCCACTGCAGTAACAAAGAGTGCCACATGAATAAATACTCAAAGCTTTGGTCAAATGATCAGAAAAATTTAGAAAAATTCCTGAACTTCATAAACTGATCTAGTAGTCAGGGCGACTTAATTGAGCACACCCTGTCCGAAGTTCTCCACCAAAATAGTCATCATAATTCGCAGAATCAAAACATGGAATTGATAAATTCGCCAACGTGGTTAGTGGATCTTGCCATTCTGCGTATCTAGCTACAAAGTGATCAAAGAAACAAGTGATGTCAATCCCTCGACCAATGTTCTGCCGAAACGGTCACACTATCACTTATCTTTCTGTACTACCCCATCTATCTATCCTGATGCTCATATCCAACTCCCTCCCTATCACAACGTTTGACTTATTTGCATTCCACTCGTCAAAATGTATGCGCATTTTTATAAATTTAGTTTGGCTTAGTCACACTTGCTATTCACTTTTGTACCCTCCTTCGATCGGCTAATCCATCTCGAGGCTCATATCCGCATCAATCTCATGGTCTCGAAGATCAGTTTCTTATCTCTATGGTTGGCCGATTTAACTCGGTTCCAGTCCCATTGAGCGTCTTACTCCAGGTCTTAAAAGCAGGTACACTGCCGCCAAACCGACCAGAGCGCCTAGGCTCTGATTACCATGCTTGCATATATTAATATGAGATGTATCCACCCTATTTCGTTTAAGGTGATGAAGGACTGGTAGTAGAATTTTTCCACAATATGAGTTGCTATCCCAAAAGGAGTTCTCATCCAGAATGGACTGCAGTTTCGACCTCACATAGGTCTTATAAACACCCTCAGCGAGAGCCGAACCATGACAGTGCAGAAGATGAGCTTGACACGTTAACCAGTCGGCAACATTGTCACGAGTGCCCTAGGGTCACGGGGCTAATGTGAATTTCAAGGAAGGCCAGCTCGTTTACCATATCACATTCTTTGGTCGGATTGTCGATAAACAACGGATCTACGATACAGTGAGTGGATCCGGATTGGAGGCCCGAGTCGGATCAGCCGATCGAAAGAGAGGGGGTCGGGGTGAATAGCAGGTGTAATGAGGCCACGCTAGATTTGCCACAAAAAGGCACACATTTTGACGAGTGGAATGTAAACAAGTAAGAAATAGTGATAGGGCGGCAGTGGGATAAGAGGGGAAAGAGTAGATAGATAGGCCAGGACAGAAAGAGGAGTGATAGTGTAACCGTTTGGCAGCACGTTGGTGAAAGGATCGACTTCACTTGTCTCTGACGAGTTCGTAGCTTGGTGCGGAGAATGGCAAAACTCATTGATGATGCCGGTGAAACGTCTGAGATTGTACTAAGTCCACTACCTGATGCTGGGAATCATGACAACTACTATGGTAGATGACTTCGGACTAGGTTCGTTCTACTAAGTTGCCATGAAAGCAAGACCAAGTTGCGACAACGAGGTCAACTCACTTCAACAAATTAATACTTTAAATCATGTAAGGGTTACTACTCTCTGCATTTCAACGACCAAGCAAGGCAATTGACTTCAACCCACTACCTTTACCTAGTGTGCCAGCAAGGGGATATAGAAGAATGCATTTCAGTGAATACACCGTATTTACGTTGCGCTCGGATTCGATAACTCAAGAGTAATATGAATTCGTGAATCAGTGCGCAGCTATAGGACCAAGAATAGATTAAACATACAATCAGGCCAAACCAAAAGCTATAGATCATTATATATATTTATATAGAGAGAGGGAGGAGGGAGGATAGACAGACAGAAAAACAACGAATAAGTTAATAATAGAGGTTATATGGCATATCAGGTCGATTAATGTCTTAGACACTAACGATAATTTGAAGAGATGTGCTTTGTTACTCAATTTCACTTTCATGAAGGTAATGAGTAGAGCGAAATGAGGTCGAAAGTGCAGTACAATATGAATAAATACCTAAAACAGATTAGAATAACCCAAGTCATCAAGTATTAGAAAAAACGGTTTTATCCGTATAATCAAACAAAAAAACCAACCGAGGTGCTTATAGAGATGATTAAGCACTTTAGCGGGGAATATTCGAATACCGGAGACTTGGTATATTTCATTGAAGGTTTCAACATCAAGACCATATTCATAAAGACGCTGCTTGATCGATTCATCCTCAGCAACAACAACTACTTGAACACTTAAGTCAGGTTTAGGTTCGGCAACCTAATGAATAAGCAAATTAAATAAAAGTTTCAAAAAATACAAGCAAGGGATCAAAAGTAAACAAGCATTTCAATATAAAAGATAATAAATGACGAACAATAATTATATTTAATATATATAATAAGCTGAAGAGAAGAACAAGAGTGCAGCTTGTTAATAAGTATCAAAAAAAATATTTTTTCAAAATTCAGTGATTTACTAAGATCCAAAAATGCCAAGTAGAATACAAATTCGTCCCATATACACAGGATGCATCAATAAACTAACTAGTCCATTTGTTAAGACGAGTATTCATACAACTGGGCCATAATAATTGGATTAGTACGTTTATTTTGTGGTTGCACAATCGAGGGTAGCTCATCAATAGGCCCATTTTCTCAGGGACTAGCTCAAGATTTTAGGTTATAAGTAAAAAAGCACAATTTGGAATACAATGGAATACACTTTGCCATACAATGGATTCCGGACTAGGTGCGTTCTTCTAAGTTTTCCTACCAATATGACCAAGTTGCGAAAACAAGGTCAAACAACTTCTACACAATTTGGAAAGCTCGTACCAACATAGGCCAAGTTCTCTTTTAAAAAGTCAGTTCTGAAATAAATCGTTTTGTTGCAACGTAACCTAACGGAAGCGCGTTTTCTTCTGGACTCTGATAGCATAATTTAGAATTGCACTTGAGCTATTCCAGCTTAGGCCAAAATTGCGGTCTATCCGGGGTGATAGAAAAATAATAAGCATCAAAGGCCAATAGAGTAGACATTCAAAAATTGATAACACGATACTTATAAGCAATATGAGTAGCAAATACTTCCATAACTATCTCTGGCCAGCCTCCTATCTTCTACTTGGAAGCTAACTCGATTTCCCATCTATTTAATCAATAATCGGTAATAGTCTAGCTCGAAATGGAGTTTAAAACAATAGAAAAACCTAAGTTGGCGGATGTATACAAACTAAGTTAATGATAAGTTTAAGTTTTCGGCCAGACATAGAATCTTACCATTCGTTTACCGAGCGGATCTATCTCTCCTGGCAGGAGTAAGTGGTTATCCAAAAGGCCCGAGAGAATGTATAAAGATTGCCCCCAAATTTGGGGAACATTGCCAACAGGAATTCGCATCTGGAAGTAAAGAAGAGCACGGAATATAACTATGGCATCTAAGCTAATAATGAAAGATAGAAATATAGCGGAAAGTACCCCAAGCAGGTGACACCATAAGGAAAAAAATAAAGGTATCGAGTAAAAACGTCTGATTCGGCGAAAACGTCAAAATTGTAATGTATTCCGAGGCAATAAAAAAATTGAACCACATAGTAATTAATGGCCAACAACGACACAAGGTGTATGCATTTTTCATTAGTAAAAAGTGATTCTATAATCGCTTTCGCGGAAGAAAAAAAATCGCTATTAAATTGAAGATATAATCAATCTTATGTATAAGCAGGAGCGGTAAAATCGTTAATTCATTCCATCCAAGACCATAAGGCTCAAAATATCATTATATAAAAAAACACATGTAAGACAAATTAGTCAATGAATTTCAACAATACTAACTACTTTTAGACACTAGCTCAAGGATAAAATGTTCTTAGTTAAATTTTGTAAGAGTAAAGTGCATAATACTGCAAAGCAGACAATTTAGTTGCGGTTTACCAAAAACTCTTTTCAAACTGAGAAAGCCAAGTTACGCACAGAAAAATTGTAAGTTAGTCTAACATAAAAAATAGACATACAATGAAAGTAAAGTAAAGCAATCTAAAACACTTGCTCACTAGATTGGTCTAGTCCTGTTAAGCGACACCTGAACTTTTCCCTTCCCTCTGTGAAATATATTAATAATAAACCAGCCCTGAATAGTGTTGACACTTCGATTGCTACTATCATATTCGGC